AAACGTCTCTGCCCTTAAAGCACAAATGGTTTGCTCTGCGACGACGGAGCCAGAGAGAGAGGACTGGGACCTTCGGGGTGGCATCTTCTGGTGAAGGATCAGCTCCACCCTCCCCAATCCCCGTCCTCTGCGGTTGAAGCAGGCTGCAAGCCAAATTGTGTCGCCGCAGAAGTGCCAGCGAGATGCCCCATGACTACCAATGAAGTTCACAGGGCGATATGGGTTGTACCCAGAGAGCGGGCCTTCTGAGATGTTTGGTGGCCCGCGGCCCGCACGCCGCTCTCCAGCCGCCCTGGCGGGCGCGCGGTCCCAAGCCCCTCCCCGTCCACGTTCTCTAAGCACCCGGTTCGCGGCCCAGCGTCTCCTGGCGCCGGGCACGCTCAAGTGTCCCACACCCTCCAGTCGGAGGAACGCACGGGGACAGGGTGGAACTGTATTTACACCTTCTGAGTCATTCTTGTTCCAGTCTCTGCATCCCTAAAGCCTGTGTCCCCTCATCTGTTTACAAAAAACCGCGAAGGAAGAAACGGCTCCCTGAATGAAGGGCGCGCGCGGCGGCCCGGAAGTGACGCGTTACGTGCCCGCGTACTCCCGCCCTGCCCTTCGCCCGCCGTTCCGTGGCGGGAACTGGGGCCACGGTGCAGACGGAGGCGAGTCTAAGGGTCACCCTGTCCGGCGGCTCGAGGGTTCCTGGGCCAGATATTCTCCGACTGGGAAACGGAGCAAGGACTTCGCGACCGCCTGGCCCTTTCCCTCTCCCGGAAACCCCAGGAACGAGCCGGCGGCTGAGAGGCCCAGGCAGTGCCCGGGAACACGCGCGGGGAGCCGGGGATAACAGGTGACCAGCCGGGGAAATTGCGAGGGTTGCCTTCGCCTTCCTCTCCTGCGCCCGTGATGCCCCTGTGATGCCTTCCCCCTCCCCGTCTTGGCGCGCACAGGGGCCGAACCAGCGCCACCTTCTCGCACCCCTTCCGCGCCCCTTCGTGCTCGGTACAGCAGCTTTCAGAGCCCTGCTGTGGGCTGTATTACTGTTTAGCAGCCTGTGGCAGGGAAATAGTAACGTGAAAAACCTTGGCTGTTTACGGATGTTAACAGTATGCTCTATCTATTGAGTATATACTCATTTGCCAAGCACAGAACTATATGTTTGCATAATTCTTTTATTTAACTCAATTGCCTTATGGAATAGACCTTAGCTCCTTTTACAGAAGGGGAAACTGAGTCTCGTAAATGATAATTCAGTCACCAAATACGGAGCATCTACCAAGTACCAGACACTGCTCTAGGGTACAGGGAAGAGGGAGATACAGCAGTGAAAAAAAAAGAATTGCCGCTAATGCTGGGAATTTTCAGGCAAGCTAATGATGCTTTTCTCTCTCTGAAAACAGCCTTCTGCTGCCTAGAAGAATATTTACCTGAATTTTAACAATGATTATCTTTTGAGTGAGATTTTTGTATGAACTTTTAAAACTCATGCTTTTCTGCATTGTTTTGATTTCTTCAGATAAGCTTGTTATCAGAAAAATAGCTCTTTCCATTTTAACAATAGAGTCCCCAGCCCTCCCTTTCCCACAAAAAAAGCCTCTGAAGGCAGTCATTGGCTCTGCCAGTCAAACAGGCCCTTGAGTGGAGCTCCAAGCTCAAGAAGAGAAGTGGAGGTTCTCACTTGTGGTCCCAGCACTCCTAATTGCTGAGTCCATTCCAAGGTCTGAGCTAGCGCTAGGCCCATGACTGAAATGGAAGAGACTGTAGAGGTCCATGTACAGTTGGGCCATTAATGACATCATGTTTATCAAAAAGTTTGGAACTCGTAAAAAATTTTCTGACATAAGGTTTATCTTTGTTCTATAACTCCATCATTATAAATAGAGTCTAAGTTCCTGAAGCTCTTTGGCTTCTTTTGTCCCTGTAGCCCTCAGTGCAATGCATTCAGAGGGTGCTGGGTCGTGGGGTGATGTCCTTTATTTAGTAATTATTGAATATCTTTGCACAAGGTTAAGTGTGCTTTCAGGCTGTACTTCCTCATAATGGCTTCAAAAGAGCTTTTGTTTTTCTGTCTTGCATTTGGTCAGGGTGAAGCAACCATGCAGGCATTTCTAAAAGGCACATCTATCAGTACTAAAACACCATTGCCCAAGGATCGAGGAGTAGCTGCCACTGCCGGAAGCAGTGGAGAGAACAAGAAAGCCAAACCTGTTCCATGGGTGGAAAAATAGTAAGAATGCTTGTGTTTTTGTTGAAATAGTTAATAAATCACCTCTCTAACCAATTTTGAGCACTTTTGTTACTTAAGGGGGGGTGATTTGCTCTGTGTAGATGTTGTCCTTGAAAATCACCCAATTATGTAAGTCAGAATCTTGGAACTGAAAGTTACCTTAGAATGAGCTAGTTGAATTCCCTTATTTTATAGATGAACTGAGGTCTTCTTTGCAACTCAGGTCTATGGTTTTAGGGGCTGGGATACAGCAGTGAAGAAAACAAAGTTTCTATAAGTTGTCTATAAGCTCTTGGTCAGGAGTTCTACTTAAGTCCAAATAATTTGTTCATCTTTTCGTTACTGATAGGTGGAAATTATTGAGTTTTTTGTTTGTTTATACGTTTTTGGCAAAAACAACACTTGACGTACCACTTAAGCTTCAATCAGCTAAGTGAGACTATGGCAAGTAGTTGTGACCCCTGGTATAGCCTCAGTTATTACCAGGAGTTTACAGATTACTTATAACCCAAATAAGGCCCTCATATGTTTTGTTTGGCAGCAACAGTGCTTTTAAAAATAGGAAATTTCACATAAAAATCTAGATTTCTTTTTAATTAAAAAAATAAATTATACAAGGGGAAAAATAAAGATTTTCGGCTTCTTAGGAGATTAGGCAACACGGGGTCCAAGTTCTTACATGACAACAGTTAGTTGGACTTGAATACTGCTTCTCATTTTGGAAAGGTCATATGTTCCTCAGTTCACCATAGTCCATCCTTTTTCTCTTGCCTTACACTCTGCCTTCTTCACTCTTGTTGTCTGCCCAGCCTCTGCAGGTATTTGCATATGACATCCTGCTTTATAATGTGCACTAGTTTTCCTAGAAAACATTATCTGACATAAAATTCCTCCCTGGCATTGACTTGATTAATTAGAAAAGTATGGCTCAAAGGAGAGTTTTTGATTAGTTAACTAAGCACCAAGCCTAACCTTAGGGTTGGGGATATAACTTTGTTCTAGCTTCCTTTAAAATCACTAGTTAATGATGTAAGATGAAAATTACATATTATTATGCTTCGTGTTGGTTAAAATTGTTAGTCAGCCCTCAATGAAGTGAATAGGTCTGCATTTTTTGTGCAGTTAGGTAATGGAAGAAATCGGTATTAACCAATTAACGATATAATAACTATATATATTTAACAGTATTAACCAAAATAGTTACTTATCCCAAGGTTACTAAATAGTTCTCCTATTTCAGCTTAGGTGTAGGATCTTGTCAAAATATAATATTACTTTCTAGGCAAGTGTTCACTTTAAATTTTTTACCAGTTGGCATATGGGGTATAATAAAATGAAATCCTTTTGTTTAATTTTTGTAAGCATAACATGTAAACAATGTGTCTGGAAAAGTGAAAGATTATTTTATGCCTTCAATATGTATTTGCTTAAGGTAAATACAAATGGGGTTTCCACCTTTCAGTTATGAAAGTTTCTCATTTCTTTACGAGTATATAAGAATACTCATTAGTACTTTAGCAAAAGGAACACTTGAGGCTTTTCTGTGGCTACTATAATATACTAAATAACCTCTCTCTTTTTTTTTTTCCAGTCGCCCAAAATGTGTAGATGAAGTTGCTTTCCAGGAAGAAGTGGTTGCAGTGCTGAAAAAGTCTTTAGAAGGAGCTGATGTGAGTAGCAGATGATGTTTAATGCCATTTTGAGATTTAAGACTTAATTTATTCACCTTCTTCCTTCCCTTATAACCTCCTGCCCCCTTTAAGTACTATGCTCTATATACAGTAGACCCTTGATAACTGTTTTAACATTGATAGATTAGTTCAACAAATATTTATTGAGCATCTCCTATTCTATCCTATGGCATTGTTCTAGAGTACTCAAGTATAGACCATTGAGCAAGACAGACTGGGTCTCTTTGTTCATGGAGCTTTTTTTTTGGTGGGGAGAGACAGAGAGTAAACATGTAAGCCAAATAAGAGAATTATAGACAATAATATATGCTATAAAGAGGAGTCAGAGGTCTTTGAAAGTATAATTGCTAATCCTAATTTTAAGATTTGGTTTAAACTACAATACAAGAAAAAAAAATGGAGCATTTAATTCTGCTTGTAGCGTTGTGTCTCCTGTGACATGTGGGATAAAATATCCTTGAGTGACGTGCATTTTAGACTATTTAGAGACAAGGTAAACCCATATGAAGAACTGGCAATTTAAAATTGTATGGTGATAAAGTGCTTTAAGAACTCAGTGAGGGAAGGCGAAAAGTTGCAGATGAAAGTGGGTTGTGGTTTCTGCTCTGTTCCCAAGATTTGCTTCCTTCCTCAACCTGGCTGCTTTAAATTAGAGGTTATTTTGGTTTTTGCTGTTACCGTTCTCTTCCTGGAATTATATTACAACAGCACATATTTTGAAAGAAGTTATATTTATAAAACTATTTAAAATCTTTTTCTTTACCAATATTTGTTCATATTTGTTCCAAATGCCTTTACCTTTTAATTTTATAATAGTATACAGTTTTAATTGCATAGTAATATTTACACAGATGGCAGAACAAGATGTATTTTATTTATTTATTTTTATTTTTTAATTTTATTTTATCTTTTTGGTGAGGAAGATTGGCCCTGAGCTAACATCTGTTGCCAATCGTCCTCTTTTTGCTTGAGGGAAGAGTGGCCCTGAGCTAACATCTGTGCCAATCTTCCTCTATTTTGTATTTGGGACATTGCCACAGCATGGCTTGACGAGCAGTGTGTAAGTCCACACCCAGGATCCAAACCTGTGAACCCCAGGCTGCCGAAGCAGTGCATGCAAACTTAACTACTACACCACCGGGCCGGCCCCAGAACAAGATCTATTTTAATTGCTAGTATTCTCAACTGTTTAGGCACACGTAGTGGGATTATGATCCAGTTCTTGACTTTATACCGTCTAATTTACGAGATTGAATTAAGAACTTTTTTCTTTAACCTCTTAATATTTTGTGTTTCTTTTCAGACTCAGTTTTGTAAAACTTAAAGATGAAGTAATTTTTTTAATTCTAAAGAGTAAAGGAAAATAATTCATCCCTTCATTTACGTTAAAAGGTTTTAAAGTAGAATTATAATAGATTTTTTCCAGAAATCAATTTTAAGAACTGATATTCCATATACAGTTCTTGAATACACCATATATATCAGACTGATGTAAGGTTTAATAATTTTACCATAATTTTAATTATGGTAAAATTTAATTTTTTTAATATTTAATTTTAATTTCAATTTTAAATAATTGAAGTTATTGTATGTGATAGTGACCTGGATAAATCATTACAAATATTGAGGTATGCAGGGATCAAAATAATAGTTACAACCTTAAAAACTAAGAGGCCTAGGAGATTTTTGTTTTTGTTTTTAAGTAGTGAGTCTCATAGTTTGTATCTTAAGCTATATGTTACCAATGTAACAGTAATAGTCTTCTAATTAATATATTTATATGTTGGTTTATTTATTTGGCACATATTGAGTATTGCACAAGATGCTGAGAATAAAAATGTGAATAGAATAAATAAGGTTCTTGACCTTCTTAAGCTTACCATCTAGTGAAGTAGATAGGTATTTTACAGTTAAACCCAACCGTTAAATAAATAAATGCAAATTGCGTCAAGTGCAACAAAGACTCCTCTGCACTTGCAGAGGAGACTAGACCCACTTTAGATTGGGTGGTCAGAGAAGGCTTCTGACTTGTGATACAGTAGGAGTTGGCCAGGCGGAAAAAAGGAGTCAGACCCCAGCTCATAGGGGACAGCATGTGTGCAGGCCAGAAAGTGCTTCAGCTGTTGGAGGTGATTGTAAGTTGGAGGCTAGAAGGTGAAAGAGGTAATGAGCAAATCATGGACGTCCTTGTAGCTTATGGTAAGCAGGGGTTTTTTTGTTTGTCTGTTTTTGTTTTTCTAAGTGGAGCGTGAAGCCAGTGAATAGTTTTAAGTAGCAAGCAGAGTGGCATCTGGTTTAGGGTGAAGAATGAATGGATGGGAAGGGAGAGGGTTAGGCAAGAGTGGAATCAAATAAGCCATCCGACCTAATTTCCTATGTGCAGTGGTGGCTGTGCATGAAAGGACAGACTGAAGAATGTACACTTTCATAACAGAGCTCATTAGACTTTAGTGTATTTATTAATCTGTACTGCAGGTCAGTCACCTGTTTGATAGGGACCAAGCTAGCTAGACTTAAGGTATAAAAGAAGATAAATATTTATTTAATCTTATCCTTTCTTCCTCTAATGAATTCTCCCTGATACATGTGAGCCTCCCTATAGGGTACATAATCGTGATGTGGAGCACTGCCTGGCACTTAATAGATGCTTAGTTTTTTAAATTTTTCTGTTCTTGAAATTTAAGCTCATTCAGAGCCCTAATATGTTTGTTTTACTCTTTTTTCCTCAGTATTGGCTAAATCCAATTTCTTCTTTGGTCTGTTTGCCCTTTGAAGCAATTGACATCTTTATAAAATATAAACTCTTGCCCAATCTTGAGCAAAGAGATGGGATAGGGAACTGCCAGAAGCCTGGGATTCCCTTCAGAAATAAGAGGTTTCTAATTCCAGCTTTGAAAATTCCACCTAACTACATTAGCTATATACCAATCATAAATATTGATTCAGCTTAAGATATTAGAAAGACATCTTGGGAAAAAGTGATAGTATTATGTGAAAAAGCAGGATTTAGAACTATTAATACTATGATACCAATTATATTAAGAAATCTTTATATTCAGATATGTGCCATCTCTATTAGGGAAGTCATTGCACTGTTCCATACACATTTTCAATCATCATTTTCATCTATTTGTGCCAGAATACAATTTTTAAAAAGTAAAATTTAACTTCTGCAGCTCCCTAATCTCTTGTTTTACGGGCCTCCTGGAACTGGAAAAACATCCACTATTTTGGCAGCAGCTAGGGAACTCTTTGGGTAAGTTGAAATCTCGCTTTTTTTAAAGACCTGACACCAAAAATTTCTAGTACTGCTTTTCTTTCTCTAAAAATTTGCATTTGGTTTTTCTGTGAAGTTCTTGGGTTTGTTTTTGCTTCTGAATTTTTTATTAATCCAGTGGCCCATTTCCAATTTCTCCCCTCCAATAAATTAGCTTTCCTACATCTTTTTTAACTTTCATTTTGAACCTTGTTCAAATGTTTGCATGTATTACTACATGGGAGCCTTGTAATTTTTTTTCATTACTTTTTCATTATGATTTTGGAGCCCAGAGGACCCAGCCTATCACCAGTCATGCCGATAGTTTCACCACTCTGTTAATGAATGTGTTCACACCTGTGTCACTGTATGATAGAATCTGCTGTGTCTAATACTACTGACTCGCACCCGGAATGTGAAAAAAGACAAAAAGGGAAGCTGATGTGACCCTAATATTTTATTTATTTGACAGCATCTTTTGTTTCTCAAGGAAATTACAGAAGACCTTTTTTGATTATTCCACAACTCAATCAGTTAGATCCAAACTGAACCAGCCAAAACAATGGTTTGGCAGGATGTGCCAGTTGTTTTCATTTTCTTTTGATTTCTCTACATGTAATGAGCTACTTTTAATAATTTTTTTAAAAGCTCACTTAAAGGTGTTGATGTTTCAATCTGGTAATTTTCCTTATAGCGAGCTACCCTATGGAAATAATTCAAAATATGCTATATTGCAGCATTATTTAAAATTGTAACATTTAAAACTATCTAAATGTCTAACAGTAGAAGAATGTTAAGTAAATTAGGTAAATGATGGTACAATCATAGGACGGACTGTCATATAGCTATTAAAATGGTATTTACGGTGGTTCTGATGACATGACAAGATGTTTATGATAAAATCCTAAGTGGAGAATTGATTTAAAATTTTATACATTATGTGATATCATCTACCTATTTTAAAAATGCATGGAGAAAAGTCAAAATGTTAACTGCATGTCTCTGCAAAAGAGAAAATATAGAAATGATTGTGTGCCTTCTATCCATATTGTTTACTAGGTGGATTTTAAACTACTGCAAAATGTGCAAATGTTAAAATGTAGTTTAAACCTGGGTTCCTTATATGCTCTATGATGTTTCATATTTGTTTCATTTTGACATAGGCCTGAGCTTTTTCGATTAAGAGTTCTTGAGTTAAATGCATCTGATGAACGTGGAATACAAGTAGTTAGAGAGAAAGTGAAGAATTTTGCTCAATTAACTGTGTCAGGAAGTCGTTCAGAGTAAGTAAGCTTACCTTCCCTTCTCCTTAGCATGTCATTATATTTGTTTACAATACATGCTTCTGCCAAATTTTCAACTCCTTTTTCATGTTAGGTCATATTTTTATCTAAATTATTTAAACCCAGAAATGACCTTTTCATTAAAATAACTAATTTTAAGTTGTTTAGCTGTCAAGATTTTTTAACTGATGTTTTGTCTAAGGAGTATTTATTAATCAAATTTGATAGTTTGGTGGTATACTCGTAACAAAGATCCTGATTTTTGCTATTGTGTTATAAAAAGGTTCTGTCAGATATCTTAAGCTTCAGTGTATATTTCATAATTAGGGTGACCATATAAGTTCTTGTCCAAACTGGAACACTTTTAGAGTGAAAGAGGAGGTATGGTTAATAATTAAAATAGGACTGCTCTGAGTTAAACAGGGATGTTTAGTTAACTACTTATACTCCTTAGATGGCAAAGTTCTAAGATTAAATTTTTAAATTTATACTTGGCATATATTTAAATTTACATCAGAGCACACTTAAGAATTTGTAGAAAGTGAATGACTAATTTTTGATACTCACCTTGGATTGACATTGCATATAAATCATAAATCTGATAAGGAACTTAGATCAAAAATATATTAGAAAAAACTCTTACAACTCAATAGAAAGACAATGCAATTTAAAAATTGGCAAAGATTCTGAATAGACATTTTTCCAAAGAAGATATACAGATGGCCAATAAGCATATGAAAAGATGCTCATCAACATCATTAACTATTAGAGAAATGCAAATCAAAACCATGATGAGATACCACTTCACACCCACTACGATGGCTATAATCAAAAAGACAGAAAATAACAAGTATTGGCAAGGATGTGGAGAAATTGGAACCCTTGTACATTGCTGGTTGGAATGTAAAATGGTGCAGCCACTTTGAAAACAGTTTGGCAGTTCCTCTAAAAGCTAAACACCGACTTAACATATGACCCAGCAATTCCATTCCTGGGTATATACCCAAGAGAATTGAAAACATATATCTATTCAAAACATGTATGCATGTTCATAGCAGCATTTTTCATAATAGTCAAAACATGGAAACAACCCAAATATCCATCAACTAATAAATGAATGAATAAAATGTAGTATATTCATTTGCCACATTATTTGGCGATAAAAAGAAATGAAGTAATGACGTACTACAACATGGGTGAACCTTGAAAACATTATGCTAAGTGAAAGAAGCTAGTCACAAAAGACAACATACTATATATTCCATTTATTTGAAATGTCCAGAATAGGCAAGTCTGTGAAGACAGAAAGTGGAGATTCATGATTGCCTATGGCTGGGAGAGTTGGGAGAGAAGGGGAATGACTCCCTAATGGGCACGGGGTTTCTTTTTGGGGTGATGAGAATGTTCTAAAATTAGATTGTGGTGTTGATATGTGAATTATAACTGCTATGTGTTTCTTTGAATCAGTGGGAAACCATGTCCTCCTTTTAAAATTGTGATTCTGGATGAAGCAGATTCTATGACCTCAGCTGCTCAGGCAGCTTTAAGACGTACCATGGAGAAAGAGTCTAAAACCACCCGATTCTGTCTCATCTGTAACTATGTCAGTCGGTATGTATATTGCCCCGAAGATAGCTTTTTTTTTGATGACCCCAATTAGGGAGAGAAAAAATTTAAATGATTTAAGGCTTCATTAATTTCTCCCATCAAATCTTGATTTGTTCTTGATAAAAATGAGTTCTTTGGGGGAAATTCTTTAGACACTGACTTGTTTTTTCCAATATTTTACAGAATAATTGAACCTCTGACCTCTAGATGTTCTAAATTCCGCTTCAAACCTCTGTCAGATAAAATTCAACAGCAGCGATTACTAGACATTGCTGACAAAGAACATGTCAAAATTAGCAATGAGGTAATTGATTAGTATTACAATTATTGTAATTACTAATTCCTTTAATGAATGCATATGAAGAAGCCCTGAAGGTCATATGTGTGTTGCTTCAATCTCTGTTGCCAATTCTTCAGGCAAACTTAAGCTAAATGAGCGACAGTTGGAATGTCTAGGAATTACAGGTTCAGCCTTTCTGTTACTATCTGTCAATATCTATCTGTCTGTCTAATGAATATCTATCTATCATTGAATATCTATCAGTATTTCAGATTTCATACATAAAATGCAAATTATGGGGCTGGCCCAGTGGTGTAGCAGTTAAATTCGCATGTTCCGCATCAGCGGCCCGGGGTTCTCGAGTTCAGACCCTGGGCGCAGACCTACTCACCGCTCATCAAGCCATGCTGAGGCAGCATACCACATAGAAGAGCTACAACTCTACAACTATGATCCATAACTATGTACTGGGGCTTTGGGGAGAAAAAAAGAAAAAGGAAGTTGGCAACAGATGTTAGTGCAGGGCCAATCTCAAAAAAGTAAAAAAGCAAATTCTGCAACAACAAATCTCTGCATAATGACAAGATTTTAGTCTAGCTAATCTTCCACTTCAAGAACTAATTTGGTATGATGAAATTCTGATACAGTGATAGAATATATAGGCCTCTTATTCACTATAGTAGAATTTAACCATAATCTGAATTTTCTGTGCTTTATGTAATCAAGAAAATAGGATAAGTATGGAACATCCCTTGTTTCTGCAAATTTCTTTCAGAGGCAAGAGATCTCTTCTCTGTCCTTCCGTTGGACTGATGCTGTCCATGAATTCTGCTGCTGTGGGATTGATAATATTCCCTCAAAAAAGGAAATATTATGTTTTTCCTCACTAACTCTAGGCTAAAACATAGTGTTTCTCACTTTTCTTTATGAAAGTCACAAAGGCTTAATTGGCCATCATAGGTAAAAAAACAATTCTTTCTCTTTAGGGAATAGCTTATCTTGTTAAAGTGTCAGAAGGAGACTTGAGAAAAGCCATTACATTTCTTCAAAGTGCTACTCGATTAACAGGTGGAAAGGAGGTCACAGAGAAGGTGATCACGGACATTGCTGGGGTAAGAGCACTAGATATTCTGAAATTCTTTTAGTTGGCTTTTAGAAAATTTTCATCCAACAAATATATATGGAATGCTTACTATGTGCTGTCTTAGTCCATTCGGGCTGCTATAACAAAATACCATAGACTGAGTGGCTTATAAACAATAGAAATGTATTTCACAGTTCTGGAGACTGGGAAGTCCAGAATCAAGGTGCCTGCAGGTTAAGTGTCTGGTGAGGACCCACTTCCTAGTTCATAGGCTCCTAGTTCATAGATGGCCTTCATCTCACTGCATCTTCTTGTGGCAGAAGGGAGCTCTCTGAGGCCTCTTTTATAAGGGCACTAATCCCATTCATGAGGACTCCCCCCTCATGACCTAATCACCTCCCAAAGGCCCCACTTCCATGTGATGTGGTGTTCATCACATTAGGGGATTTTTAACATGTGCCAAGTACCGTGCTAATAACTGTAATAACAGAATAATCTGGTAATCTGGGAGTATCAGAATGCTTCATGGATGTGGTAGTTAAAATAGATTTAACAGATAGCCCTGTTCTTATAAATGGAAGAGTCCTCTATAAACGAGGGGCATATCCAACTTACAGAAATCATTTACTTAAAAAAATGGAGTGCCATACCTCTGTGTTGGGGTTCTCCCATGTCAGATCTCACCTCAGAATCACTACTATTAGCAACTAGAAGGATGTGCAGCTATGACATACAACTATCTACTGGAGGTTTGGGGGAAAAAATAAAAAAGATGTGTGTTGCTATATTCACCAATCCTAAATTACTATCATAAACTTTAAAAAAAAAAATCACTACTACTTTCAAAACGTTTTAGTTCCTAAGTATTTTCCATACTGTAATGAACTTGGTAGCGTTAGTCCCTTTTCATTTTCTGGGTATTATGGGCTTTTTAAACTCAACAGTCTTGTTAGTGGCATCTTTATTGGGAGAAAGGGCACATCCCCTTAAAATCATTTTTCAAACTGTTTGGCAGATTTTAACCACTGCTCTGAGGAATTTTTGTAGTGGGGTGGGGGGCGGGGCGGGGAAGAACTTCAGCTGTTCATCCACTGACCAGACAGCTGTTCTTGTCCCATCATAGGAAATTTTGTGTACTTCCTAAAGACCCATTAGATCTTAAAGCCAAGTTTATCACCCTGGTTGCGTGGTAGTGACTGGACTAACCTAAGATTGGCATCGTCAAAGCAAGAGGTTATGGTTACCTGGAGAGCTTAAGTCCAGTAGCTTTCTGGATCAGCTATCTGGAGCTCAGAATATGAGCATAAGGCTTCAAGATGGCCCTTTTCCAGCTCTCTTCCTTTGCCTTCTCAACTCAGTATGGATTCATTACCAGGAGAACAGCTCCATGTCCTATGCCACTGGGCACCTGTCATCTTTTTACAATGACCTACCTAAGCATGGAACAAAAGGGAGTGGGTATGGGCTTAGCAATGTCCAAACTGTTTTTACCCAGAAACTATATCTTTAATAACTTTTTAGGTAATACCAGCTGAGACAATTAATGGAATATTTGCTGCATGTCAGAGTGGCTCTTTTGACAAACTAGAAGCTGTGGTAAAGGTAAAAGCACTTTACTAATTTGGGGGGAGGGAAAATTACACAATCATACCAAATGTCCAATTTTCCTGTTACAGGATTTAATAGATGAGGGTCATGCAGCAACTCAGCTTGTAAATCAATTTCATGATGTTGTTGTAGAAAGTGATAACCTTTCTGATAAACAGAAGTCTGTTATTACAGAGAAACTTGCTGTAAGTAGACACTTTTGCACATTTCAGCAAAATATCTTTATACCTGAAAGAGGTATTTTATTTTCTAATTTTTCATTTTCTTCTAGGAAGTAGACAAATGCTTAGCAGATGGTGCTGATGAACACCTGCAATTGATGAGCCTCTGTGCTACTGTGATGCAGCAGTTAACTCAGAATTGTTAGAACCATATTCACTACGCTGGTTTTTTCAGTTTTTGTAAATATGATAAAAATAAAATAACAAAAGCACCTTTAAAGTGAATATACAATTTATTTAACATTCAAACTTCATTAAGACATGTGCAATATGGCAATTTTACTGGGGGTTTAACCCTACCTAGGATATGATTGCTTGCTGGGGCTTAGCAACAGGGTCCAGTTCACACTTAGCACTAATTAAATACTTTATTGAATAAATACAATACCAAACAAAATGCATTCAAATGCTTTCTAAAAAAATCCATTTTAAAGGCCTTTCTATTTAGGCTAATGACAAACACAATAAAGGCAGATATGCTAGTTTAACATAATTGGCTGATTTTATACAGCACTTATATCTTTTAGTCCACAAGTATATTATTAAATGATAGAGAACATCTAATACAACCATTTCTACAGAACTAGGAAATAAATTTCTACGAAAGAAAGATTTTACAGACCCCATCTTTAATACCCAACCCCAACAGTCTAACTCTAAAGAGGATAAAGCCAATGACTTTCCTCACAAGAGCTCACGACTAAAGTCGCTTTGCTATCAAAATCTGTATTTCTGATCCGTTATGAGCATTGAGACAAGATTCAAATATTCCCAAAGAAAGAAGCACAATGCACGTTGTGATCGCCTATTCAGCAACAGCGAGCACTGCATTCAAAACTATCTCATCCCAGGAATTAAATAAGGTCAGCCACATTCATTGGCATTTCCTCCACTGTAGTATTGTAGAAAGTCTCAATGTCACGAAGAATCCTCTTGTCTTCTTCAGTAACAAAGTTTATAGCCACACCTTTCCTCCCAAATCGACCCCCTCTGCCAATTCTGTGTAAGAAAAAGAAATCAGCCATTAGAATGTGTTACTTCTTGCATATTGCATGAACTAATGAACATGATGATCCACTTGTTAACCATCAGCTGCTGTTTACTTATCAAGGTTATAGTTCGTGCTTCTAATTGGAGCACTAGCTGCTAATCAATATCGAGAGAAAAAGATCTTCCTTTGCAGTTAGTGCCAAAAGGATTCAAGGCTTGTCTGGCTGCAAAATGAGATTTTATCAGATGTCTTGAGCATTATTATCTTTAAAGCAGATGACAGTATTGTGTTTGGGGTAGTGAAATTAAAGCCCATACCAAAGTGGGCCAGCCAAGAGCAGATGTCAGCCTGGGACAGATGTAAATACCAGGGATAAAACAAAAACAACAGTTATGTAATCCATTTCGACGCACTTCTGGAACTGTAAACTGTAAACACAAATGCTGCAAGGTTAACTATTGTCTAAAACTTACAACTTCTTCCAGTGGGAAAACCAGTATTTGGTATGGTAACCCAAACTTATCACTGCTTTTTTGCTCAGTTTCACACGTTATAACTCAAGTTACTCAAACGTGTTTACCTCCAAAACAACTTTCTACCTTCCTGACAGAAACCAGACAAAACAAACCACCTAATATGCCTTGGCTGGAGCTACTTAAAATATCAAATAATCATGACAAAAGAAAAACAAATATAAATACCGACTCGCTCTTTATTCAAACAGTGTGCTGTTTCGCTTATGATTCCACGTCCTAAATTACGTCAACGCCGTTTCTGAGCGCCATCTCGTCATCAACTGCTGCTATCGACTCCTGTATTTTTTAAAAAGTCTTTTTTTACATCATATAACAAAGTACAATTCAATTTATTTAGGGATAAAGCCACTATAACTAAACCAGGGACTGCTCAAATTGCTACCAGACAACACCAAGAAAATCCCAACTATAGAGGAATCACCAAGGAAGCACATGGACACAAAAGCATCACTAAAAATAAAGCTCAAAGATAAAAATAAAGCTCAAAGATAAGCTAAGACCAACAGATCTAAAACAACCTGATGTGTACATATTAAGTTCACAATTTGGGCATCATTTACAACTGTTTTCCCACTGTATGACCAATCTTCCCAAGTACAATTTTAATTTCATCTGACCACACTACCATATCTTTTTACTGAATCAATTTCCTGATTTGAGGATTACCTTTCAGACAAATCAGTCAGTAGAAAAAAAGCAATACATGAAATTCATTTTACCAATACAGTAACAGTCAAGATGCCATCTACTCACCTGTGAATATAGTTTTCACGATTGGTAGGTAGATCATAGTTTATAACCAATGATACTTGTTGCACATCAATCCCACGAGCCTGAAATACAATGGTATGATGTTCAAATTCTAATTAAAAAACTAGACACCTATGTAATGTAGGCCACAAAATAGTAGTGAACTACATTAAGTGGTATAGCCCACTGTGGAGTGTGGTCTTTTCTTTATTCTCCCAAACAACCCAAGTTGGGAAAGCTTATTAAAAAACCTTCCCACAAAAAAAAGGGTTTTTTTGGTATATTAAAAATTTGAGCAGTAAGAGACTTACCAACAAGTCAGTAGTGATCAGAACACGGCTTGACCCTGATCGGAATTCTCTCATGATAACATCTCTTTCCTTCTGGTCCATGTCACCATGCTGCAAATTAACAGACCTTAATTCAAGAATCACCAGTCAAATCCATATTTAATTTTATCAACATGTATGAGACCAAGCGTCCCTGGCTGCTACAGGGAGTATAGCAGACAGGTATAGTTAAGAAACAACTTTATTTTGAGCAGGGGGAACGACAACACAGCACTTAACAGCTATATTGTAGTCTGAATCCTGCTTTAACGAAAATACAAACAGCATTATTAACATTACTAAGTTAGAACACCTCTTACCAGAGCAGAAACTGTGAAGTCCCTGGCATGCATTTTCTCAGTGAGCCAGTCCACCTTGCGCCTTGTATTGAGAAAAATAACAGCCTGCGTAATCGTCAGTGTCTCATACAAGTCACAAAGTGTATCCAACTTCCATTCCTACAAGATTTCAAATAGAAATTCAGCAGTCACTAAAATAATTTAGTTTCCAACTTAGTCATTAGAAATTCATCTATTAAGTTAATTCTAAGGACATATTGCACCAAATCTTAAGACAAAGGACACTGGACATTAAGAAAGAGGTCCACCCCAGTCTTTACAATCCAGTGCAGTTACTTTTCTTCTTGTGTATACTCTGCTAGCATTATTACAAAAACCAAGATGTGATCCTAGTTTCTGCAATTTTAGCACAGTGCTTATACAAGAAGGATAAAAAAAAATCTGGCTAACATTTTTATGTTAATTAAATTACCTCTCTTTCAACATTAATATAAAATTGTTTGATTCCTTCAAGGGTCAATTCTTCCTTTTTCACCAGAATTCTAATTGGATCTCTCATGAACTTTTTGGTCACTTCCAACACATCAGTTGGCATTGTGGCAGAAAGCAACACAACCTAAAAAAGACAATGATTATCTGTCAAACAAGTAATTAGCATAATATTCAATTTCACAATACTCAAAAAATGTTTGAGACCAAGCGTTTGTCTTACTATGGAATTGTGCTAGACAGAGATAGTTATGCATCAATTGCTTTAAGCAGGGGGAACGACAATAAAACACTTCAGTTGTATTGTAACAGTACCTGCATCAATTACACCTGACCTCCGCTATAGGAGGGCATGAAATAAAGCTCACCTGAATACTTGTATTTAATTTTTGGAAAATCTCATAAATTTGATCCTTAAACCCTCGGCTCAACATTTCATCAGCTTCATCCAAAACAAACATTTTGATCCATTTTGGAGCTGTTAAAAACAAAGTCATACTATCATCTCTCGATTCTCAGGAATAACATTGGAAATTTTTAATTTTAGCAATAGTAAAAACAAACTACACTCTTAACAGATAGCAATACTTACAAAGGTATCTTCTGTTTAACATATCAAACACTCTCCCTGGTGTACCAACAACGATATGTGGTGCTTCAGCCTGCAGTTTTTGCATTTCATTTCGAACATTGGTTCCACCGATGCAGGCATGACAAGTTGCTCCCATATAGTCTCCAAGTGCCAGAATTACCTTTTGGATCTAAAAAGCCAAAAGCCTTAATTATCATCCAACAGAATTACAAGCTCTGTGACTAATCTTTCAAAGCATAATGGCAAATATCTGGTCTGCAAACAGCTTTTATGCATGCACAGCACTCAACTACTTCCAAGCTTAAAATGCAGACTGATCCAACTGCCTCAAGATAAAATTCCCTTTACATGTCTTTTCTTGTGCCTTGTCAAACTTGGGATCCTGCTGCCCCAGATACCACCTAGGTTAAAGAACAAAAAACATTTCCTACATTTTCTCTTCATTGTGTAGGAAGATGCAAATAGCAAACAAACTCTGCAATTACAGCTAGGACAAGCTGTTGATACTTTCAATTTTTCCCACAAGGTACTGTGACTTACATAACCTTGATCTTCAAGAAAAAAAGCGCCTAATTTTATTAGCAAGGTTTACTTCAAAGCCAATATAGCAGTGAGCTTTGAAAACATAGCATGCAACAGATGCATCACAAACTACTGAGACAGTCAAATGATAACATGTCACTGCAGTTTTCATGTTGCACAACTGCATTCAAACTCAAAAATGGGAACAGATCTAGTCCACCCTGGACAGCAAGCTTCCATTTCTCAACATTACACAACCCTGAAAAACATACCTGCACACCCAGTTCCTGCTGAACTTTCAATAAAAACTCCCTGCATGCATGGGTAGTTAAAAGGAGGGCTCTGACAGGACCAATTTATACTAAGTTGTAAATGCTTCACAGTTGTGAAACCTGAAACCTATGCAACACGCAAGCAGTTTTTTTGAACTACACTATCAATACCTGTTGAGCCAGTTCTCTGGTGGGGGCCAATACTAGTGCTTGGGTCTCCTTGAACTCAATCTCCAACTGTTGCAGGATGGAAATAGCAAATGTGGCTGTCTTGCCAGTACCTGACTGAGCTTGAGCAATCACATCATACCCTAAAAAAAGTAGGATACATATTTACCGATCCCACATCAAACCGTCACTTCTAGTTCACACCATGTATTCCATTTGGAACATGAATTATGCCCAAATAATCAAGTGATCAGCAATGAGTATTCTCTTCATTTCAGGTCAGTCCCGAAAGATGATTGCCATCATTTCACTTAAAGGAATACAAACAGGTGCTAGTCCCCCAGAAGTTATCTCCCCTTTTATGGTCCAGGTCTATGTAGGACACTGAATTCACTTTTTAAAAAGTACCGAGTTCTTTTACCTTTAATACAAGGAATAATAGCTCGCTGCTGAATAGCTGAGGGCTTCTCAAAACCATAAGCATAGATGCCCCGAAGAAGAGACTCCTTTAAATTCATATCATCAAAGTTATCAACAATCTCATTCCAGTTGCTCTGCAAATTTAGAAAAAAAAAAAAAATCAATGAATGAGACGAACCAACTCACCTTTCCAGAATTTCAAAATCCACCCACATCTCTTACCTCGATGACACCATCGGGGTCCATTCCCTCTGGGCCGCCATGTTCTCTGCTGACAAGAATAGTTCCGTTAGAGCACATCCCTGTCCCATGCCACCTTAAACGGCACATCAGGGGACAGCGCTTTCAGCACCTGTCTCATCAAGTTAGCCTCCCCCGCACGTGTGCACTTCCTGAAAGAGCAAAGGAAGCT